AGAGGTGGCCCCATGCGTCTGGGCCAGAGGGAGAGGCAGGGAGGTGGGCCCAGGGACACAGGCGCTGCAGCCGGGAGGCCCACAGCGCCCAGCGAGGTGCCGTGTCCTGGTCATGGGCTCTTCAAAGGGTCGAGTTCCCTCTGGAGGAGGCGGGCCCTCCTTCCCCATCCTCCCCGTGAGCTTCACGCCCCTGCAGAGGTGCCGAGTCCACACGAAACGTGCCTGCCTGGCACCCCCCCTCCCCCTCCCATGTGGCTGTGTCCAGGCCGACCCCGGTCACCTGCACCCCCACCTGTCCTCCTGCCTAGTGTCTGTGCCCACCCCGTGGGCCCCCGCCGCTGCCACGCCAGCACCCGAGCCTGGGGTCTGGATTCTGCCGTCTCCCTCACCTTCAGATGTTCCACAGCATGAATATTCTTATTTTTTATTTAAAACTAATTTGGAGCTCTCGCTCTCCAAGGGGCTTCTAATCACCAAAAAGTGCCCACGGCAAGAGCTGATTGACAGGCCAACTCGGCCACTTCTGAAGAACCAACTGGCCGTCGGCGGGGCCGCAGACAGGGAGACGCTGCGGGCTGGTTATTTGTGAGCGATTAGGGGGCGGGCTCCTTGCGTCTGTCTGCTCCCCACACGGCGAAAACACCTGTCAGGCATCAGGAGGCGTCCAGACGCCGCGTTTGAAAGCCAGTTTGCTTTAAAAGTCATTAGAATTGAGTGTCAGCTACAACTTAGGAAAACACTGAGTCTTCAAACACCTCTGGGTCGTGCTGGTGAGCCCAGGACGCTGCCACTCTGCCCAAGACGGACGTGAGTCTGTGAACAGGGCGCTGACGCCCCAGACGGAGCGCGGCGTGCCCAGGGTGCCCACCGCAGCGCCGGGCAGGGGACGGCCAGGTGGACAGGGCTTCCCCAGGGCCTTCTCTGTAGCCTGCGCTTTCCTGCAAATGAACTGAGCACTCTCGCTACGTCTGGACAGCAGCAGCGTGTCCCCGGGGTGTGGCCAGGGACAGGGCCAGCTGCCCTGACTGTGTCCACACGCCAAGCCGCACGCTGACCGTAGTTGAGGCCACCCCCCGTCCCCCCCCCACACTGAGGAGGCCTCCGTGGGTCCCTTGTGTTCATCTCTCAGCGAACTCCTGGGAAGACACCAATTAGGGCTGATTCTGGAGGCAGGTCCGTGACGGGGCCCACGGGCCGGATGGGGACCAGAGCAAGGCACTAATTAGGGAGTCAGAGCAGGGCCAGGCCCCTCCGAGGGGCCACCTGCCCCCAAACAATAGAAGGAGCTCAGAGACAGAAACCGGCCGGAGGCCTGGAGCCGCCTGACACCCTGACATCATTCAGACAGAATATCGAAGAGGAAGAGGTTTGCTCGGGGGGTGGGTTGGTGGAAGTCCCTCCCCGATCCCCACAGGAGGGAGGGCAGCGCTGGGCTGGCCGCAGGGACTTGTCCCCGACCATCCTGGATGGCGGGGAAGGACGGGGTCAGGTGTGGGTGGAGGCAGGAGCCACGCTGCTGTGGTTGGACTGTGTCTCCCCACCTTCGCGCATGGGGGGCCCCAGGGTGCACCTGTGCACGGGAACAGGCCCTCACGGAGGTGGTGAGGGCGAAGTGGGGCCTTCGGGGGCCCTGACCTGCTGTGACTGTGCCCTCGTCAGGGGAGCAGGTGAGGTCACAGACGCACTCACAGGGAAGGCACGCTGGTGTCCTCACCGCTGAGCCTGTCAGGACCGTGGCCCTGCCACCAGGGGGTCTTCCCTGGGACCCTTTGCCCGCCAGCGAAGGACCCACCCACACACCCGCCCCAGCACTCCCCGGGGCGGGCTGCCCGCTGGTCAGCCGTCAGTCCTGTCCTTCCCTGTCCGTGTCTTAGCTGCCACCCTCTGTGGGCCGAGGGTTGGGCTGTCACTTCTTTGGCAGGAAGGGGGCTGTGACAGAGCAGGGGCCCTGAGGTCTCCAGAGTCAGAAGGGTCTGCCTGCTGGGCTTTGGCCACTGTCAAGTGTCCCCGAGCCAGGACTGTGGGACAAGGAGGGGACCCACTGGCAGGCAGCGTCCTGGGTGGGGTTCTGGATGAGCAGCTGCCAGCTCAGGGCAGGCACAGATGCCAAGCCCAGTGGGGTGGAGGGCTCAGGGACAGCACCACCATGGGGACTTCTGTCCTGCCGCTGGCCTCGGCAGGCACATGCAGCCTCCGGCCCCTACGGGCAGGGTGCTGCTGCCAGGCTCCCGGGCCTCGGGTGCCACTCGGGGACAGCACCCAACTACTGGGGCGGTGACCCCACACGCTTCTGCACGGCCTCCGGGCTCAGCAAGACTGCCAGCTAGACTCCAAGGGGGACCTCCAGGGACCTCAGTTGGGAAGGTCAGGGGCCAACTGGCGGAGGACACGGAGCCCCAGCCTCTCTGCCAGCTGCTTTGAAAGTTGGGGGTGTCTTCTGAGTTCCAAAGGCCAAAGGGCCGAGCTTGCCTTTAATTAAAATGCACGTCCTTTAATTAAAGGCACCATAACACATGGAGGACATGCACTGAAATGCGACGCGTGACACGCTCATTTCCCTGCTGTTAATTACTAATTAATGAACCTATTTCAATTAATAGCTTCCCCTCCCCCCACGGCCCGGCGCCGGTGGGTGGGTTCCGCCGCCCGAGTCTGCTGCCTCTGCGTTGAATATTCATGCCAGCAACTGCCGCTCTTTTCAATTAAACATGAAACGGAGGACCCCGCTTGGAAGTGTCCCCGAAGCACAGCCCGTCCCCGGCTCCCCTCACAGCAGCCCGCCGAGGCGGAGGAGACTCTGCGCAGGCGGCGGGGACCGACCCCGGAGGCGCCCCAACCAGGGGCACCTGCTCCCCCAGGGGCCCCCCCACCGGTGCGTCCTCCCAGCCCTGACGGATGACTGCCCCCGGGGACAGATAAGCGGGAGTCCCCAGGGGCAGATGGGGGCCCCCAGGGCTCTGCGGTCCCTCCGCTGAAGGTCAAAGCCAGAGTGGGGGACAGAGAAGGCAGCCCGGGGGGGGGGCCATTACCGTGCTAATTATGAATAATGAGTGGTCATTAAAGACCCCGCACTAAAGTAAGGACAGAAAAGTGTCGCTATGGTGACGGGGAGGGGACAGTGCTGCCTGTGAGCAGGGGCCTGGGGGAGGGCACCCAGGGAGGCCCCCATGGGGCTGGGGGAGCCTGGGCGGGCCCAGTGCAGGGTGTGGACCAGGACCCGCGATGCGCCCAGCCACCCCTTTCTGGCTGCTGCCTGCCCAGGTGAGCGGCAGCCCCACCCCCGAGAACCCCTCTCCTTGGGGAGGGGATGGGGGACCACCCCAGGCCTGGCCCTCCCGTGTCCCTCTCCTCCCGGGTCCTGAAAGAGCTTGGGGGTGGGGGACTGGGGCAGGAGCAGACACGGCCCTGCCATGGTGCCCTCTACTGGCCAGCCGCAGGGTGACAGCAGCTTCGCCCTCCTGAGGGGCCTCCTGGCTGTGGGCTTGCGGTGGCAGAGTCCCTCCCTTGGGAGGGAAGGGACAGGTTGGGTTTGGTGTCGGGGCCCTGCTGCTCCACCTGACCTTGTTGCCCACACTCAGGGTCCCTGTTGGCTGCTGGGGTCCCGCCAGGGTGGCCGGGAGCGGGGGCGTGTTGGAGCCTGGCTGCGGCAGATAACACCAGGCAGGCGGGCCAGGGCTGCCCCCCACCTGTGGGACCGCCCCGTAACCAGCACCCGCCCCGCCGGCAAACACTCCCCAGACACCCTCCCAGGGCTCAACACCCACCTGGGGAGGGCTAAGGAGGCTGCCCCCAGTCCAGGGTGACATTCCGGACCTGTCTGCTATCCTGGGCCCTGCACCCCCAAACCCCAGACACGGAGGCCAGGACCACAGTGTCCCCACGCCTGCCTCTGGTCCCCTTCTGCACAGAGCCCACGGTCACCTCCAGGGCCCTGCATCCCTCCAGGGGCGCTGGGTTCCCGAGGGGGTGGGGCACCTCTCAAAGAGCTTAGTTTGTGGTGGATGGAAAACAGGGGCCCCTCGCACACCCAGGCTCGCGGCTGCCTCTTCACAACAGCCGGGTGTGGGCAGCGCCCGTGCCCACGGGTGAGTGGACAAGCACGGCGTGGCCCCTCCGAACGCGGGCTGTGTCCAGTCTTCAAAAGGAAGAAGTCCTGACCCCGGCCACAGCGTGGATGGACCTGGAGGACATTACGCCCAGTGACCTGCCACTAAGGGACACCCACCGTGTGACTCCACTGAAATGAGGTGCTCAGAGCCACCGAAGTCAGAGCGCAGCTTGGGGGGTGCCTGTGTCCCAGGGGCACTGGGTGTTTACTGGGGACACAGTGTCCGTTTGGGAGGATGGAAAGTGCTAGAAACTAGAGTGGGGCACCCCTGCTGCTGAGCTGCCCCCTTCCTCGTGGTCATGAGGGGGGTCCGCCCGTCCTGTGTCCGGGACAGTGTCCGGGGCTGGGCTCCCAGCTCGGGCTGCAGGCCCCCGAAGGCTGCCCCTGAGGCTGCTCACACAGCCCCGGCCGGGCAAACCGCAGGCCTCTCTGGGGACCAGACGGCCCCTGCGCCTCTGCACACGGGCCCGGGCTGCGGAGGCCCGACTCACTCTGCAACTAAGAATCTTTCTTTCTGGGTCTTTCTCATCGGTGTGGGGAGACCGCAGGGAAGCCTGTGCTTCAGTAGAAATGAGGTGCTGTGCCTCCCCCCGGGGGGCTGTGTGACCTGTGGGGCGGGGCTGGGGCCTGGCAGGGAGCTGATAGCAGGGCCCCCCCACCCCTGCCCCTCCACGTCATCCGCTGCGGGCGAGCCCGTGCCAGCTGGGCGTGCCCGGTGCCGGGAGCCCAGCGCCACCATGTGCCCATTCAGGGTCCCATCTGTAACTGTGTCGGTTCCGGAGTTTTCCTTGGACCCGTCAGTGACACCTGGCTGGGCTCCTGGGGAATGAATCTGATACATCTTTATAACAAGTATCTGTTCTTTAAAACACGTGTTAGAAACGTAACCATCTTCTTTTAAATAGTTTAATGGTCATCATTTAAATAAGGCGCTGGTGTGGTTTTCCACATTCTTTTCTCCCCAGTTCACCCAGCCACGCCCCTCATCAATTCGGGAGAGACGGCCGCTCTGAGCGAACGGAAGGTGGGTCGCCTGGTCCTGGTCAACGCCGTGGGACGCAGAGCACATTGCCTGTGTCCAGGGATCCACAGGAGGGGGTGCTGGGGGTGGGGTCCCCAAGGATGGCCACAAGGCCGGAGCCCACTGCCCAGAGCTGGGGTCCTCACCCGGGGGCAGCTGTCCAGAGGACACTGGTGGTATCGGGAGACAGTGTTGGGGGCAGGGTGGCCCTGAGCACCCCACAGCGCCCAGCACGGCCCAGCACAGAGAACTGCCTGGGCCCCAAGTGCCCGGAAATAGAGGGACTCGGGTCGGGGGAGAGGCCGCCCGGACCCTGCGGATTGGGCACAGGGTGGGCGGGCCGACTGCCAGGACACTCCTGACGCTGCAGGGAGGCGTGTCCGGGTGCGTCGACCCCACTCGCCCCGGACGGTCCTGCAACACCAAGAGGCCCGCAACCCTGAGGACACTGGGCAGAGGGGAAACCTAGGCCCGGCCAGGGCCAGGTGCCGGTGCCGGCCCTCCGTCCCCCAGCTCAGCTGGGGCTCGGCTCCGCTGTCACACGACGGGGGGCAAGAGGAAGAGGCTCTGACACCGAACCCTTCACCCCAAGGCTGGTGGTGCGGGGTGTGTGGGGTCCGGCTGGGGCGCGGCTAGAGGTCCTGGTGGGTGGGGCCCAGGTCCACCCTCTGGGCCTTTCCAAACACCAGGAAGCTGCACAGCCCCAGGCTGCTGATGGCGGCCACCAGGTGGAACAGGGACGTCCAGGAGCCGGTGGTCTCGATCAGGTAGCCACCCAGGCCCACGCCCACAACACCTGCATCCGAGAAAGGGGACAGGCGGACTGAGGGACGGGCTGTCGCCAGGGCAGTCTGCGGGGAGGGGCTGGCCTGGGGTGCCTGGACCAGAGGCCAGCCTCAGTCTCGGAGGGGCAGAGACCCCACCGAGCAGCCGCCACCACGTCCCTCTGTGCCCTCCACAGGGGACAGGGGCAGCGGGAGGGGCCTGGCTGGGGAATGAGCCCGACCCCCATCCAGGCCCCCGGGCACTGGACCTGCGGGGACCCTGGGCCATGAGGACCGGACTCACACTCGCAGGCGGGCGGGGTAGGCGTTCTCTGCTCGGACCAGCTGTGAGGCCTGCGTGCCCCTCCCCACTGATGCTGCCACACTGGGTGGACCCGGGGGGGCCGCCACGCCCACCCCGCAGAGCCAGAGGGCAGCGGACCCCAGCCTGCCTCTCACCTGCCAAGGCCCCAGCTGTGTTGGCCACACCTGTGAACAGGGTAGAGACGAGGAGGGGCGGTCAGAGCCGTCCCCTGGTGACCCTCCCACAGCAGCCCACTAGCAAGCAGCCCCTGTGGGCTTGGGGGCGGGACGAGGCCTGGCGAGCGGCCCAGGCGGGTGGGGGAGCAGGCAGCTGCTCCGTGTGCAGCCCTGGGCCTGGGTGCTCACCAAAGAGAACGCCAGCACAGGACGGGGCCAGGTCCTGGATGTTGACAGAAATGCCACTGTGGGGAAGAGGAAGGGACAAGGGCAAGTGACCCTCCCGCCTCAAAACCTACGCCAGTCCTCTGAGCACCCGGAGCCCGGATGGAGACCATCGAGGGGCCGCCTCGGACTAAGGCCCGCCTGGGTGCTCGGCCACACTGGGGCCACCTGAGCCCCCCACCCCAGCTGTCCCATCTCAGTGGTGGCGCAGCGCAGGGACCCTCTCCCAGGAGGACACATGAGAAGGCAAGCTCAAGTGCACACTCCTTTTCCGTCCACAAATGTTTTTTAAAAAGCCTTCAATGGCCAATTCTGGAAATGACTCCCTGTGAGGTTTTTCTGACACAACGGGACTGACGCTGGGCACTGGGCGGGGGGCTGGGAACCCAAAGACAGATGCAGACCTCGCCAGCGCACCTCGGTCCAGACAGAAGCCGCGGCCCCGAGCTCAGCGCCTCCTCCCCGGCCCCTCCCGCTGCGTGGTGTTCGCTTCTCCCGTGGCCCATGATCACGCCTGCTGATACTCCGACGCCCTCTGCCTCCCTGGCTCACGGGTGGGGACCAGCCACACGCCCACCCTCCACGGGCCTGGGAGCCAGGAGACTGCGCCAGAGCACCCGGGACTCGCGGCGGTGCCGGAGGCGCCCAAGGGCAGATGGGGCGGCTCTGGTGGGCGGGGCAGCTCCGGTGGGCGGGGCTTACCTGTGGTTGAAGGTCTGGAGGCCGATGGAGGCCGAGGCAAAGAACACGGACTTACAAAAGCTGGAGGTGTGGCCCAAGCACAGGGCGAAGACGCTGGACAGGCCCAGGCCCATCACCTGCGGGGCAGACGGTGGCGTCAGGTGAGGGCTGTGCCTGCCCACAGGTCTTCCCCCCGCCCTCCCGCAGCCAGGGCCTTGGGGGGGGGAGTGGGCATGAGAAGCCGCCCCTGCTGGTCGGACCTCCAGACCCTGTCAGGTGGGATGGAGCCCAGAGATGGGTGCCCCCCACCCAGCGCCCCAACTGCCCTGGTGCGCTGGCCGCCTTCTGGATCAGGGGACTTGGGGACACGACCCTCGGGTCCCAGGAGCACACAGGATGTCCTGAGAGAGCCATCCGGTGACCCCTACCTGCATGAACTTCCTCACGACGATGGTTCTGTAACCTGGACAAGAGGGAGACCGGCACACGTCCCCACCGCCCGACGGCGCCGACCCCCCTCCCCGCAATGGACAGCACCCACGGTGGGGACCCCAGTGGGGCTGCCTGGGGGCGGGGGCGGGGCTGCAGTGTCCTGTGTCCTGGGAGGAGCAGGAGCACCTGCCCTGAGGTCCCTCTGCGCCCGAAGGGCCCAAGGCCGTGGTCAGGCAGAGGGTGAGAGGAAGGCCATTCGACGGCCACGAACGTGCGCTGGGGGCTCTCACTTGGCTGTGACCTCCAACCCCCCCACAGGTGCCCTTCTCACACTTGGAGAGGGTTGGGGGCTGCATCCCGGCCTCGGGAGGTAACTCCCCCAAACACGGGGGACTCAGAACCTCTCACTGCACCCCAAGGCCACCCTTAGTGGGGAAACTGAAGCTGGGGGGTCCCTTGTCGAGTGGGCTCCCATGGGCCCCCCTGCGCTGGCGCCGAAGGGCTGGGCATCGCACTCTCCCAGCTTGGTCTTTGGGGGCGTGGCCTCTCCCCATCACTGTACCTGCCCCTGGAAGGACGCCTCCCGCCTCCCAAGGTGAGGCGAGGCCCCGTCGTGGCCCCTGGCGTGTCCGGTCCCCAGGGCTCACCCTGACTGATGAGGTGGTCAGAGAGAAGCCCGCTGAACAGACTGGCTGGGACTGCCACCAGCCAGGGCACCACGTTGAAGACCCAGCCCTGCAGGAAGTGAGGAGGGTCTCAGAGGCACCCACCCTGCTCCTGGGGTGAGCCTCCCTAACCCTCACGCATCCCCCCAGGGCCGGCCTCTGGCGGCAGACGCCCGGCCTTCCCGACAGGCGGAGGCCAAGCCAGGCCCGGACGCGGCCCGTGTGTGACGAGGCGTCCCAGCGCCACTCGCCTGCAGGTGTCAGGCGGCCGTGGGGCCAGGCGGCAGGGGCCCACCCCCCACCCAGTGTGGTGCCGGCCACGTGGCACGGCCTTGACCTGCAGGGCCCATGCGGCCCGCACCTGGGAGCTGGGGAAGGTCTCCCTGAAGAAGGTGGGCAGCCAGGACAGCAGGATGAAGAAGGAGCAGGCGGAGGACAGCTGGGAGAAGATGGCCGCCCTGCGGGGACAGGCGCCGCTCAGGGCCACCGTCCCCAGCACCCGAGTGACCGAGGCTCTGTGACCGATCAGGGCTGGGAACATGCACGGTCCCCACCCCCACTCCTGCCCCCCAAGGTGACCCCACGTGGCCGGCTGACCAGACGGAAGGCTTCCGGAAGAGCTGTCTCCAGGGGACCCTGGTGTGCCGGGACATCGGCAGGCCTTGCACCAAAACGTCCAAGGCCAGGACAAGGTCTGGGGGGGGGGCAAGGTGGGCCCATGGGAAAGCTGCTCCGAATCAGGGGACAGGCTGGCTCCCCCGGCCCGGCAGCCCACCCCCACCCTCCCCTGCTGTGTCCAGCATCTTCAAGGGTCCAGGTTCATGTCGGGTTCGAACAGACACCCTTGGCTTCCGCCCGCCCAGCCCCCCGAGTGCCCCAGCCCCTTCCACCACCGGACTCACAGCTCCCCCACCTCTGCCCTGTCCCCGGCCGACCTCTTGGCACTAAACGTGGCGGAAACCACAGCCCGGAGCCCAGCACGGGCTTGTCCATTAGTCTGGGGCCGAGCTGCGGCCCCAGGCGCCTGAGCTGTGGCTGTGACTTTCAGGGTCGGTGGCGGCCGCAGGGGCCCAGGCTCTGGGCCCTCGGCCCTCCGGGGCGGCGCGTTTGCCGGCTGCGCCTGCCCGACCGCGGTTACCTTGTTCGCTCAGCAGGTACCTGTACACGTAACACACCCACAGCAGGGTGAGGCCGCCGGAGAGGTAGAAGACGCTCGGCCAGCCGTACCAGTCCAGGAGCAGGGAGCCCACCGCCCCCGTCACCAGCGTCCTGGGGCGACAGAGGACCATGGCCATGACCCTGGGCTGCATCCAGGCAGGGAGGCACCGGACGACCCCACACGAGTGCCCAGAAGGCACAGGCCGCCTCCGCCATATCCACCAGAGCAGACTGACCGAGGTCGATGGTGTGACGGCCGCTGCCCCAGCCAGTGCCACCTGCTGCCAGCACCTTTGCACAGCAGCGGGAGCGGCAGCCCCGCCGCCCCAGAGCACAGAACCAGCCAGACCCACTTCGCTCCGAGCCGCAGATGCCCCCACGTGGCCGCCCCCCACCCACGGGGCTCTGCCTTCCCACGCCCCCGAGGCTGGCACTCACCCGACCTGGGAGCCAGCCCCCACGGCGCTGTAGGTGAAGGCGCGCTCGCTCTCCGGAACCTTCTGTGACAGCAGGCTGGTCAGCGCGGGGAAGTACACCCCTGGGGTGAGCAGAGGACTCAGGGGTCTGCACGGCGCTGGCCCCTGCCCTCCCGTTCCAGGGTGAGAGCCAGGCCGGAAAGCGCCCCATCGGTGATCATTCTGCTTGTGGTGTCCTTCCCACTCCCATCACCCAAGGGACCAGCAGTGACACTCGGCCAAGGAGTCTCTCAGCTTGGGTCCCAGCTGCCACTGTCGCCTGGCTTCCAGGCCACAGCAGCTCCGAAGTCCTGGCACACGCGCGTGACACGCCCACGCGCACAGGGACCCACGCTGCACACAGTGTCACACACGCCCACAGCGCACACACGGCCAGTGAGCACTGAGGGGTCTGCGGGGCCACTGAGCTGGGCCCTGGCTGAGACTCTGCCCTGTGGCTCCGCGACGTGTCCCCACAGGGAGGAGGGGAGAGGGCACAGAACTTCCCTGTGTGCTTTTCTGCAACTTCCTGCGAATCTATAATTATTTCAACGTCTAGTTTTAAGAAACTGCCTTGGGGACTTCCGATCATGCCTGTAATGCTGTGTTTTTCTCCAGGAGCACCCGGGGGAGTAAGGGGCGGGGGCCGGGCAGCCCTTGGTCCCTGCCTTCCCCTCAGGGCCCTGGACATTGCCCACTGCCCCGGTCTGTCCAACGGGCCACAGAGCAGCCACACAGAGAAGCCCTGTCCCTCCTGGGAGGACGGGGAGAAGCAGCCTGGGCCCCGGGACCTGGTCTGCAGGACCAAACCACCAGCCACAGCCACACGGAGACCTCGCGGGAGGCTCACAGGAGCACAGAGGCTGGTCCACTGGGACCACCCACAGACCTGACCAGTGGGGCTGGTCAGAAAATAGGCACAGGCCAATTCTGGGAGACCTGGGGGCCCCAGGATCTGAGGGGCCACCAGTGGTCCCTTCCGCAGCAGGTGGGGTGACGTGGTGAGGAAGGGTGGAGGCGGATCACATCCAGGAGATGGACGCTGTCAGGTGCCAGGCTGCAGCAGGCACGAGCTCAGAGCCCATCCAGTCCCTGGGGGCTTGCAAGCCACCTGCCACTGGCTCCCCTGGGCCGCAGGGGTCTTTGGGGGTCCTCTCCAGAAGTCTGGCGCCCCTGCTGTGCCCATCAGCCTGCTGGTGCTGACTGACAGTTACCACACAGCAGCCAGGTGGCCACCCGGGTACCCGGAGTAGCCTTGTTGGCATGGAGGGCACCCAACACTAGAACGTGCCAGACTGAGGAATGTTCTAGAAACGAAGTTGCTGAGGTGCCAAGGCATCGTCAGGCCAAATGCCCACCCGCCACACACAGGCACACGTGGGCACACTCGGAGCACCGGCCTGCATGAACATGCACCCGAACCGAGCACACACACATGTGCTCACACTCCTGTGACTGAGGGCCGAGGGCTGGCAGCGTGAGGGAAGCCCCCGGGACGTGCCTACCTTGCAGCAAGCCGGTGAGGATGCGCGAGAAGGTCATGAAGACCAGGTGGGCGCTGCCCAGGTGGGCGAGCAGCGGGGTGGCGGCAGTGATGAGGCCCCAGGCAGAGGCCGACAGCAGGATGACCTTCTCACCCCCGATCCTGCGGGGCAAGAGGGCGGTGATGGGGACGCTGGGCAGCTGGGCGGAGCTGCTGGACCGGCGATCCTGCCACGGGGACACCCACCCGGGTGGGGGGCCTGGGCCGTCCCTCCGCAGCAGCCCCGGGTGGAGGCCGAGCATGAGAGCACAGGGCGCCCTCCGTCCGTCTGCCCCCACTCCCCCAGGGCGCTCACCAAGGTGCCGAGCTCCCCCACCCTCCCTGGACCCAGGGTCTCCCAGATCCCGCTTTCTCTGGGGGGACCGTCCCCACAGGAATTTCCCAGCAGGCCCCCCAGAGCACCCCAGCTCAGTGGGGGGAGCAGGCGGCGGTTACCGGTCCCCCAGGTGGCCACCAGCGACCTGGGTCAGGCAGTAGCCCCAGAAGAAGCTGCTGAGCACAATCCCGGCTTCTTTCTTGTTCCAGCCGAAGTCCTGGCTCATGGAGACAGTGCAGATGGGCATGCTGACGCGGGCGCAGTAGAGAAGGCACGTGCCCAGCAGCAGCGTCCCCGTCCATGCCTGGCACTCGGGCCTGTGGGGCAGGGGGTGCGGGTCAGGCCACCTCCCAAGCGTCTAGGTGCCCTGCTGATCCCCAGGAGAACGAAGACAGGCTCTAGGAACGACGCCCCGAACAACAGGGGTTTGGAGCAGCCCATGCAGAGTTGGCCATGGCTGGGGTGCTCCCGCCCGGGGCCAGCAGCCCCAGAAGGTGCCCAGGTGGGAGCTGACAGCTGGTAACTCACAGAAGGGGCAGCGGGCTGGACAAGAGGACCCGGCCGAGGCAGAGAGGGAGGAGCCCCTGCAGCAGGACCTTGGGCGGGCGGTGCTGGGCAGACATGGGGCTGTGGGGCCCCAGGAGGAGCCCAGGCAGTAGGGAGGCAGCCCCTGCTGCTGGAAATGTCACCAGACAAATGTGCACAAAGTGAGCGTCCACAGAATCCTGGCCGCCACTCCTCCACTGCCTGTCACTAAGGTGGAGAGCGGCTGGAAAGTGCCGCTGCCCGGAGACCAGCCATGAGAGCCGGCACAGCAGGGAGGAGCTGCAGACCCCGAGCCGCTGTGGGCTTCAGTTTGCAGCTGTGCCGGCACCGGCCTCCTGCCCAGGACCAACGCAGGACACTGGTCTCAGGTGTGACAGGTGGGATGGGGGCCAGCGTGGAGCCCAAGGGACACTGAGCCACTGTCACAGAGGTGCAGCAACTCCACAACTTTCCCACCGTGCGCAGGTGGGAGTGGGGACCGGGGACGGAGGCCTCCCTGCTGACTTGCGTGGAGGGGGCGACAAGTCAGGGCTGTGACCAGGCCCGGAAGGAGCCCGCTGGGGGTTCAGGGTCCTGGCTGCCCCCAGACCCGCCCACCTGCCCTCCCTGGGGTGATGCCACAGGGGGAGCTCAGGCTGTGGGAGGGGCCTGGCCAGGCACTTGACGCCTTCGTGCCCCGGAAGGTCGCTGGGGAGGAGAGGGTCAAAGGTGAGAGGCCAGGGTGCTGGACAGAGTGCCCGTGGGGACATCAGTCACCCAGGAAAATGGCGGGACTCGGTGGGGAGAGGAAGGTGGGGCAGCGAGCCAGGGACCCTGGTCCTGCCCTGGGCCTCAGTTTCCCCCGGGTACAGTGAAGAGGTTGCACTGGACCTTGGATTTCAAGGTGGGTCCCATAGGTGGGGCCCCAGGGCACCCTCTGCCACTACCTGCTTCACAGGAAGGAAAGTCCTCCGACCCCTGTCCCCACAGTGCTGTGCAGCAGGAGCCCCACCTGGCCACACCTCTGCGGAGGCCAAGGCAGGGCTGTCCCTGGAAAGGGCCCCGGGGACCACTCAGCATCCGCTGGGAAGGGACCCCGGCTGCCTCGCCGCCCTGCTTCCTGGTCCTTAGAAGGCTTCTCTGAGGCCAGATGCTGGGACATGGGGCAGATGGGACAGGCCTCGGGGCCCCTGTCTGAGAGGCCGGGGTAGAGGGCGGGGCTCCCCCAGGTCTTCACAGAGCCAAGGCAGCAAGGTGGTCAGGGCGGGGGCCAGGCATCCACAAGGCCCAGAAGCTCTAGGCCCAGCCTGCCTGGCACCTGTCTGCCTCTCGGACGTGGAACCCAGGAGCTCCAGGGGCCACGGGCCCCCAGAAGGGTTCTGGCCGATCACGGCGATTGTGCCCAGGGCTTTGCCTCAAGATCGGACAAAGTTTGCCCAGAGGTCACGGGCCACCCTCCAGCGCCCGGTGTCCTGTCCCAGGATGTGGAACTGTCTGGGACTTTGCTCCCTTTGTGCAAACAGTCCCCCTGGACTTCCCAGTGACACACAGAGCCCCGCCACCCTGGCTGCCACCCAAGGGAGCTTGGAGAGGACTCCGTGACCATGTCTGGTCCCCAGACAAGTGTCCTGGGGGGACCCACACAGGCCCACAGTCTGCTTTTCATGGCCAGGCAGACCAGGGGAGCAGAGGGCACAGGAGCAAGGCTGCCAAGCACCCCCCAAATAGCCACCATCCAAAGGGACATCATCCCTTTAGGTGCTCAGGGCAGCGCAGGCTCCCCTGCACCCAGCACACCCGCCCCCCACAGGTGCACCTTCACCGTGACCCGGGGAGCCTGGCTCCCAGGGGCCATCTGCTTTCCTGGGGCCCCGGCCCTAAGCCAGCCAGGCCATGACAGGCAGGTGAGCAAAGGGCTGTCCTTCACAGCTGCTGGGCACACAGAAGGAGGATGTCTGGCTGGAGGCCTCCTGCCTGCCCGCCATCAAGATGCTCCCCATCTGCGAAGCTCCCAGAACCCTCGCTTCCTGCCACAGCCCCTGTGCGAGGAGTCCACCCCTGGGGAGCAGACACAGTCACATGGCCCCTTGGTTCGGAAAAGGGAACTGTGCTGCGGGCGCCCAGGGCCGGGCGGGCAGCGAGCTGAGAGGACATGTGGGTCCGGGGCTGCTGGCTGCCCGCGCCCGGCACGCCGCACCCGGCACTCGGCTGGAAAGCGAGCAGGAGGAGCACAGGCGGGCGGTCCAGGCAGCACACGCAGGGGCGATACGCAGTACCGATCATTGTCGTTATTATCATCACCCACTCAGGGGAGAGAGAGAGAGAGCAGCCTTCTCCCCACACCGAGCATGGTTGCACGCAGGACCCCAGGGCCCCTCCAGGACACCTGCCGGCCCTGCCTGTCACGGTCCTGGGGCTCGGTGCCACTTTCACTCGGAGCGGGGGAAGCCGTTACGGTGGCCAGGCTAACACACCGCCGCCTGAGAGGAAGTGTGCGGACTGTTCCTTGGCCCTGGGCCACCGCCCTCTGCCTGCTGGCTGCTACCCGGCCGAAGAGGGGGGTGAGGCCCCACCTTGATAACAAACAGGGTGGAGGGGGAGGAAGTGAGGGACGGGCTGGCCGAGGGCACCCACCCCTGGTTCAGGCACACCTCTAATAGTCCCTAATCTACCCCGGGGTGCAGCCGGGGCTGTGAGTGGGGCTTTGTGGTCCGTTCTACTGTGCCAGCCCGCTGCTCCCTGCTCCCTGGGCCCTGTTTCGACTCCAACATGGTGGGGGGACTGCCCCTTAGGGCCTTCCTGCCACCCCGTGCTGGGGGCAGGGTGGGGAAGGTGCCATCATCCGCAGGCGACAGGGAGGCCCTGACAGCATCTTCCCTGGGGACCAAGGCCAGAGGCAGACAGACCCTGGACCTCTAAGGCCCACAGAGCTGGAGCAAGGGCTGAGCCATGCAGGGGCTCCTCGGGCGTTCCCCTGGGGCTCCGATCTGGTCCCTGGCTACAGGCAGCAGTGAACACAGATGTGGAAAGCAGTGGGGCACTTGCCAGAGTCCTCCCTCCCCCCAGGGGACCTCGCTCACATCATGAAGCTTTTGGTGGCAGGGCTCAGCTGCCCCAGGAGAAGCAGGCCCCAGCGTGGGACGCCTGACAGCCCCTTGGGGTGACTCTGAGGTGCCCTCTGTGTTCTCAGGGAGGGTCCCGCTGTGCCGCCCTACCTGGCAGGGCCAGTTCCCGGACTCCAGGCTATGCCGGCGGGCGGTCCCTCCTCCCCAGCCAGATGAGGCTCAGACCCCAGGCAGGCCTCCCAGAATGCCTCCCTGCCTGCATGCCCCCCAGGCCCCAGCGGCCTGGACAGGGCTCAGGGGACACTCGGCCCTGGGGCTGCATGGGAGGTTGGAGGTACTTGTGGACGCCCCCCCCCCCCCCCCCCGTGGTGCCTGACCTCAGGACCAGCAAAGAAGCCCCTCTGGAGGACTTGCGCGGGGGGATGCGCCGCCTCCTCCCCTGACCCCTCCCCTGACCCCCTGCGCGGCTGCACCTGGACCACTGAGCGTCCTCCGCCGCGTCCCCACGGGCCTGGTCTGGGGGCAGCCGCGTCGGCTGCATCGGACGCAGCGAGTCCAGAGCCGGCTCCCGCCAGCCAGCCCACGCGGGCAGCGCCGCCCAAGTCCACGTGTCAGTCCCAGCGGCGCTTCCGTCTGGCGCTCCCAGGACGTGTCACCCCCGGACGGTCAGCCACCGCGGCGGCGGCGGCCGGGGGCGGGGGCGAAGGAGCAGGCGGGGCGCCCGCCCCTCTTGGTCCCCGCCCTGGGCTGGGGTCGGGCACGCCTCCGAGGCCAGCGCTCCGCCCGGGCCTCCTCACAGCTCCCGGAGCGCAGCCGGCTGCCATCCGCTCCCACGGCAACCCGCCCCCCCGCCCCCACGACGGTAGCTCGGGGCTCCCCGGCATCGTGCGAGGCAGATGGTGCTTTGGAGGTGCCCGGCGGGTGGCCTTCCGGGTCCCAGACGTGGGCCTCGGACGTGCTGTCGAGCCGGGGAGCCTGCTGCCCCGTCCGTAAGTGGCGGTCCCCCCCTCACAGGCTGTGTGCTCATCCGGGGAAAGCATGGCAGTCTCACCCGGAACAGGGACAGAGTAACTGTTCATTTTCGAATAGACCTGGGGCGGGGGGGGGGGGGGCCCTCCAGCCTGTGACCTCGAACCAGGTGCCAGTGCTGGGCCCCTGGAGCGCACCCAGCTGGCACTAGCTGACGCGGCCGAGTGCTTCCCAAAGGTGATCTGGGCCTGGAGAGAGAGCCAGGCCTGGGCTGGGGCCCCGGGTCCTCACGCCCACGTGGCAGACACGGCTGCTGGGGAGGGTGGGGACCCCGGGAGGAGTGGCAGGGGCAACTCTCGGAGATGCCCAGGCCCAGGGCTGCAGGGGCCAGTGGAGTGAGGAACCTGTGAAGGCAGCGGGGGCAGGGCTGGCCCCACAGGCCCGGGAGGCCAGGGGGAGGCCCACAGGGCTCGGGGGGCGGGAGCCACTGGAGGGCCGTGGTCATGGATCACCTGCTGAGGCCACCAGGGTGGAGGCAGAGAGGATAGACAAGGCCACTACTGTCCCAGGTGAGGATGGGTGCTCTGGCCAGGGTGGAGCAGTGTGGGCTGAGAGGGGCCGCGTGCCAGGCCTCGGCGGGGGGGGGGACAGAGGGAGGGCTCGGGCGGAGCACCTGACGCCTCTGGAGACCCAGAGCTTGGCAGGGCCTCCTGTCCTGAGGTGGGAGGTTCCCGCAGCAGCCAAAGCGAACACCCCGGAGGGAGCCCAGAAACAGCGGTGCTGGCAGTGGCCAGGGCGGGCGCCCACTCCCCCCCCCCGCCTCTCCCCAATCCCGGGAGCTGCCCACCAGGGCAGGACCCCTCCCTGGTGTGCAAGAGGGGGCGGTGTGGGTGACTGGGCCGCCAGCCCGGCAGGGCTCCGGCTCCGCAGCCTCCTTGTTGGGGCCCTTCTGGCTCCCTCCCACCTTCCCCAGGTGACAGCCCTTGGGGGCTCCAGGGCCACACCCAGCAGAGCTTTCTCTGAAGGGCAGACCCTGCCTCCCCCACGTCACCTCCACTTCTTTGCACCCTGCAAGGGCAGTTCCTCTTCTGCAGGTAACAAATGATACCCGTGCATTGCTGACAGGTAAGAGTAAGCAGCGAGGAAGCGGCTCTGGACTCGATTTCGGGAGCTGAGGCGAGGGTGGGGCACCTTTGGAGGGGAACAAGCACAGAACGGGGCACATGGCCCCCGGGGACCCGACGAAATTTGTGGTAGAACGAGGGTCAGTGCAGCGCGGGCCCCACACTCAGGACTGAGGAGAGATGGCGGCAGCTGCTCTCAGGGCCGCTGAGCCCGAGGGCCATTTGGGTTCAAGGCCAGTCATCTCGGTCTCACACCGGGAGCGAGCTGGGTGCCCGGAGCAGAGATGCGCCATTTCAGGAGCCGGTGGCCTCAGAGACCTGTGCCGACCCGTGCAGTCCTTGCCCCCTCCAGGGCCGTTCTGCCCACAAGCGGGAGTCCTGGCCAGTGTGGGGCGCGCTTCACTTTCAGGAGCCAGTGGGGAGAATGGCTGGAGTGCGTGGGGCAGGAGACCTCCAACGTGCGAGCGAGCACAGCCTGCTGACGAGGCTACTGAGCAAGGCACCCGGCCAGGCCAGGTGGGAACTGTGCCGGCCTGAGGGGCCCGTGCTCTCTACCTCGTCACCAGGCTCACCCAGGGGCACCCCAGCCGTGGCAGCCCCACACAGGGTGGCTGGCAGTGTGTCTCGGTGCCTCGCGGACCGCCGGCGCACGCAGCCGGTCAGCGGGGCTTCGGGGGGACCCGCCTCAGAAACTGCAGCCCTCAGAGAGGCCCCGGTTGGTCCCCACCGCGCCGAGGCCCGGCAGCACCACCCCTGGGCCGGGCCCGTGGCCGTCCGGCTGCAGGGCCCACAGGGAGAGCTCTGCTCACACACGAGCTTTGTTCAAGACAACTAAACTTTGTCCAGAGGCCGTTTCAGTCATTCCCGAAATCAAAGCAAAACCTTTATTTTCAACAGAACTGCCCGGAAGAGATGGTCTGTGGGTCCACCAGGAGTCTCTGACCACATACAGCACCAAAATATATATCTGGGAAATTAAAAACACACCGTCCACCCCTCACACTCGTGCCCCCAAAGCCACACGGCGCGGCCCGAAGGAAAGCGGACCGGGCGGTGCCCTCGCACACAGTGTCTCCGAGTCGGGACTCCCGGGGCTGCAGTCTTGCTGTGGGGGCCGAGAACACGCGGACAGGAGGGCTGCTTGCTCGCGGAGACTCGGGAGGACGAAGACAGCGGCCGGGCTTCTCTGGGCTCTGGGGGTCACGGGCGTCCCCGCGGCGCAGCAGCCTGGTGCCGCCGCCCCCAGCACACTGCGTGGTCGGCACGGCCTCCGAGGACCAGTCTCTCGCCGCGGGCCATCTGGCATTTCCAGGGGCCGTTCTTCCCATCAGAGGAGCCAGGTGAACAGAAAGTGAGGGGGTCTCAGCTGCAGGAAAGCCCTCCGGTCACAGTCCCAGCCAGTCCTGGGTGGCACCGCATGGGGCCCCGGGCGCACAAGCCTACTTGGGCTCCTCGATGACACCTTTGCTGAGGTCTGTCATTTTGGGATACTTCACTTTCTTCTGGTCCAGCTCATTCTGAGCCCAGAGGAGGAGCTTCAGCAACTTCGCCAGCTTGGGCGTCGACTCTCGGTTCTCGTAATCCAGGACGGCCTGGTTGACCTCGCTCCACACCTGGGGGACGCGGGCGGCCAGTGAGATGCCAAGCGCAGGGAACTGCGCCCCTGGAGCAGCCTGCCATTCCCGAGACCCGCGCAAAGCCCCGAGCCGGGTGAGCCCCCTCTCCGGCGCAGAAGGGGCTCACGGCCTGTGGCAAATGTTCTGCCTGGCCCGGGAGGCAGGACAGAGCAGAGCAGGGTGACAAATCCATCCTCCAAAGCCACGGAGGACCAGCCCTGGCCTGAAGAACAGGGGTGGGGCCGGGGGTGAGGGAGGGGCAGGGAGCTTCAGGGCAGAGCTGGCAGTGTCGGTAGAACACTGAGGGTCCCCGTTTCCAGGGGTGTCCCCGAAAGCAGGAAGAGCGGCAGGGGCTCCAACACAGCTGAACCCTGAACGGCGTGGGCTCGGCCACACGGGCCCACCACACTCGCATTTTCTCAGTGCGCGCAGTCAGCCCTCTGCACCCTGGGTCCCCACCCAGCACACCCGTCACACTCGACCTCGAGAGCCCCCGTGTGAGGTCACACCCTCACCTTCTGCCGCTGCATCATGTTCAGAAGGTCCCCGAAGGGCGAGTCCTCGGGGCTGTCGAAGGCCAGGAGTGCCAGCGTGCGCTCCATCTCCGTCAGGCACTCCCTGCTCTCCTCCCCCTGCTCCGCCAGCTGCGTCTGCGCAAACTCCAGCGCCGCCTCCGTCTCCCGCTGGCGGATGAGCTCGATCAGGTGCTGTTGCTGGGCAGGGGGAAGGGCGCGGGCTCAGACACCTGTGCGGGCTGCTCTCCACGCCGAGAGACACCCTCCAGGATGCTTTCTGGGCTGCCCGCGTCACTGCGGTTCCGATTCAGACCCACTGGAGCCCCTCCCCCCGTGACAGAAACCACACCGGGTCAACAGGCCTGCACTTCCCAACCCGCACGCCACCTACCCAGGGCCCGCGCTTCCCCCCACCGCTCACCTGCAGGTGGAAGTACAGGTAGCGGTTGGTGTCCAGCAGCTCGGGGTGCAGGCTGTTGATCAGGGCGATGGCCTCCTGAATCTGCCCCTTCAGGATCATCTCGCGGATTTTGATGCGCTCGTCCAGGGTGTCCAGGTCCACACTGGGCTCGATCCCGGACTCCATCCGGAACTTCTCCGCGGCCTCCTTAAAGCCCTCTGGGGGGAAGAGCCAGGCTCAGGCCGCCACTCTGGATGGCAGCCCGGGGTCAGCACACAGCCCCTGCGCCACCCTAGGTCCGTCTGCCTCGAGCAGACAGCGCTGTGTGCGCCGCACTTCCTCGGGGGCTGGGTGTCAGCGCCTCTGCCCTTGAAATACAGGAAACGAAGCCCCACATGCCAGCTCCCTGAAGGCGGCTGCGACCCAGGGCAGCTGTGGGGCCTTGAGGACCCAGCCAAGCTCTCCCCTCCAGGAGCCCACAGCCCGCCCCGTCAAAGCACCATGTGTCCCTCTTCACCCCCCACCCACAGCCACTGCCTCACTGTCAAAAAAAAATCTCCACAGAGACTAGCAAAGAGGGGGAGCGGGGAGGAGACATGTCCCTTCGGGAGACCTCTGGGTGCCCCGCTGCACGCACGACCCCTCTCCTTCCCACTGTCACAGGGAGGGCACGGTGCCACTGTGGTGTCAGCACCTGGCCCCTTGTGTCTCCCTCCCGTGGGGGGGTGGCTGTGGGCTTTAGATGCACACCGGCACCCTCTCGGCAATCATGGTTGGTTGTAGACGCCTCAGGAGCCCAGGTCCCAGTGCCTGGGAACAACGGCCTGCTCCCAGGAGGAGAGATCTTTAACGTGCCCAGGGTGCCAGAACCGACCTCACCTCGCACGGAGCTCAGCAGGGAGCCTGCAGCGCCCGGCTGCAGGTGCTACCTGTGCCCGGGTAGTCACCTGTGACCAGGTAGTTTGTGATGAGGTATTACTGTGCCCGGGCAGTTACCTGTGACCAGGTAGTTCATGATGAGGCGGTTCATGTCTGCACGCTGCACGTGCAAGTTGTTGAGCTTCTCCATCCACTCGTCTTTTGTGACCTCGTCGGGCTTTTCCGTGTAGCTCATTCTGACTCACTCCTACAGGACCAAAGCGAGTTGGAAAGCGGTGGAGGACTCTCCGACAACTGAGACCCTCTCAGGGACACAGCCAGTGAGGCAGCAGGGCGCACGGGGAGCAGGACGGCACAGGGACCTAGAGAAGAGCCTGCTGCCTGGGAGCGGGCGGGTGGCCCCGAGGCAAGATGGAGGTGAGAAGGAGCCGGGGGACACAGATGTCCCCTGGGCACCACAGGCAGTGCCGGAGGGGTGAGCTGAGAGGTGCACACTGTGACTAGCAGGCTCACAAGAAGCCATCGGCCCCCAGACCGGCAGAAATGGAGAAGTGACAGTCCCATGATACAGGCCCGGAGCTGCAGCCCCCCAAGGGCACCCCCACCGGGCCTGCAGCCGCAGAGCCATGCCCGCCAGGTGGAGACCCTGAAACTCTCCCCACCACCAGGCAGACAAGCCTGTTCACAAAAACTCTGTTCAAGACAGCAGGAGCGGGGAAGCCACTGGCCAGATGTCCCTCCAACAGCTGCACGACCCCCGACCGGGGCGGGTGTGTTCCAGGATCCGGAACTTTCCAGATCACAGGAAGACGGCATAGCACAACCTACACTACAGTCCTCTGTGTCCTCACAGGGTCTGGGGTGGTGCCCCATAATCCAGTCTCATTTCTCTGGGGAAGCCTCTGTCAGGTCAGGCTTTGCCAGCAAACAGGTTAAAAACAGCCCTTGGTTTTCAGACCTATTTGGATGTTAGGCTGCTGAGAGGGGTTGTGAGTATGTGTTCACGGGGCAAACACACTAGAGCAGTTACGGCCCAGGAAGGTCACAGTCATGGGGACGGTTCTCAGAAACAGGCTGCAGGCACAGCAAGCTGCGGCGGAGGCCCCAGTGCAGCCAGCGGCTTAGTAAAGAACAAAACAAGGAAAACAAGGCAGACTATGTAAAATCTGGAAGTGAACACACATGAAATGGGATTCTCAAGAGATGCTACCAAGGAAGCAGGGGCAGACAGGTGCCAGCCCAGGAGCACCACCTGGGCTCCAGGGACAAGCCAGCCCACCACGGTCCACCTGGTTTTATCCCTTGTCACTGACCTGCTCGTCAAGAATGCTACTTTATACACAGCGAACCACTTGCTCAATGCTTCAACAAACTTTAAAGCTAAGAAACAGCAATGTGGGTGGTGAGAGCTGAGCAGGAGGACCAGTAAGAAGCCACTGGACAAGAGGGACCCAGGGTTGAAGTGTGGGCCTATCTGCTGGACCGAGTGTGGAGGGATCAGAGGACCAGGGGAGGGTTCAAGCTGAGCCCGTGAAGGACTGGGCCACAGACGAGGAGGCAGGGCTGAGACGCGAACAGGTTTGGGGAGCAGGGCCAGTTTGGGCTGCCTGTCAGGGCGCAGCTGAACTCTAGTAGGCACCTGGACTATAGATGGTGAGCTCAGTGCTGGGAACGTTAATTAGGGAAACCTAAGCATGGACAGCCAAGAATCCCACACAGATCACCCAGGGAAAGAGTGGGGAGGGGAGCAGAGTGAAGCAAGGCAAAGTCCTGGGCTCCTGGAAGATGCGGACAGGCTCTCAGGACGCAGCACAGGACAACCGGCACCTAACACAAAACCAAGTGGGGACGTTCCTCAAACACCCATCCCTCGGGGGCCACTGCCAACCGCGCAACTCAGATCAAAGGCTCGTTTCCACATGGGACAAGAAGGCAACTTCCCTGAGTTCCCGTTGGGCCACTACACCAGCTGCACCACTCCAGGGTCGCGTGAGCGACTTTCGAAAGCGACCACTTTGGAGAAGTCCGCGGTCCGACAGCGGACACAGAATTCAACTTCCCAGCTGCGAGGAGGAGCACTTGCTTCCCAAGCCACAGTTTCTGTCCACGCCAGGTCGCTTCTGCTAGAAGCAGTTGTTCTAAAAAGCGACCTCTTGGCTGAAATATCCGTGCGTGTATCGATACTCCGGTTCGCGACCACTTCCGAACGCAGAGCCGCCCCTGGCGATGATGCCCCGGTGGGGATCGCTGCACCCCGCAACCGCTTAGGCCAGGACTAACTCGCAGTTTGACTTGCAAAATCAGGGAGTGCCCCGGCCACCCGAGAACAAGTCCCGACCAGACATCTGCTCGGACCTACGACCCCCTGGGAACTGGCGCGAGTCTGGCCCCCTCCCGGCCCCACCTCGCTCCCGCTCGGCCCGATCGCCTGGGCCCGCCGCGGCCATCTTACCGTGCGGATCCCGCCTCCCGCGCTGCGCAGTCTCCGCGGCCGCTCGGGGGGCCGGGCCGGGAGGCGGCACGAAGGTGCCGGGTAGGGAGAAGCGGAGGCGAGAACCGCGGCAGAAGCGGGGGCGGGGGAACCGGAGGGCCGACGCACCGGCGGCCGCCCCCTCAGTCTCCTCCCGCGAGATTGAGAGGTCGCGAGCCGTCAGCCAATCGAGAGCCCCTACGAGGCGGCGAGACGCGGCGGCCGCCCGGAAGCGCGGCACTAGAGCTTCCGTCCTTGCGCAGAACCCCTTTCCGGGCCCCCGTTCTACGGGTTGGCGCGAGAGTCAAAAAGCTTCATCCGTCTCCGGGATAGATAGTTACCGTGGAGGCGTCGCTGTGGGGGGACTTCGCACTGGTAACGCGGCACTAGATTGAGTCCGAGGCGAAGGCCCCTGCGTCCCTTCCGTCATTTGTGTGAGCCCAGAGGGCACGGGGCGAGGGCGGGGGCGGGGGCCTGGCGCTGGGGCTCCGCGCCGCCCCGAGGCACCGGCCGGGGTGGAGTCGCCAGAGCGCGGCCGGCTAGAGCGCCGGGTTCGGTGGGTGGGGAGGCCCGGGTGGACGCGGCAGCACACGGACCCCCAGGCAGGGTTTGCTCGTCGCAGCCCATCTGCTGGAGAAGCAGGCAGACTCCGAGCCGGGCCCGGGCTCCCCGTCCCTGCAGAGGGAGGTGGAGCGATTTCGAGCGTTTCGGGCGGCAGTGGAGGGCGGCCCGCTTCGCGACCCTTGGGACTCCGACGGATCCTCGAGTTCGCAGTCAGGGGTCCGGGGTTCCGCGCGGGTGCTCGCAGGGACGCTGAACGCCCAGGTGGGGCCAGACTCCTCGCGGAAAGCCGACTCGGCAGATGGGTTCGACCGCGACAGCAGGTCCCACGAGTGGAGTGAGCGAACCTGCGGGACACAGGCCTGTTTAAAATGCAGATGACCTGCTCCTCCATCCCTAACACTCGGCCACGACTTAGTCCTGTAAACACTGCTAGGCGCCCACCGAGCGGCGCGCTGTTTTACTGTTGTGTTTAACGCCAGCGCCTTGCGGACGCGGCCCATTCTGGTCCAATGAGGCTCCAGCTGCGGGTCCCAGGAGCACGGTCCCTCCCCCGGCAGCCAACCGGCGATTGATCTTGCAAATGCTGTGCTCACCCTGGCGGCTCTTCCCCGCCCAGGGGCCCTGCTGTCTGCTGGCTGTCGCCTGCCCAGCAGGCCGCGAGGTCTCCATGCCCCTGCCCCGTGCACACCCCTCGGAGACGCCGCCTCGCCGCTGCAAAGCACGCGCAGCTGAGCCCTCGCCGTCCCTGCCTGCCCTGGGCCTCTGCTCCAACCGTCCGCGCCCCCACCAGCTGGGCTCTTGGTTAGCTTGCTCCTGGGGTTGTGGAGGACGTCCCTGAACAAAGCAGGGCGTCGTGTCTCCCCTATGTTCACGCAGTACTCACAGTCTCCCTTTGTGGCACCCTGTTTTGTCACTGTCCACTGATGGCATGTCGTCATTCACCACGAGTGTGGGCTTCCCGGAGTGGAAGCGTCCAACATGGGGCGGGGGTTCCCCAGCCGCCTGCCGGGAGGGCGGAGGGATGAGCGGGACACCCTTCCCTGGGGGCACCCTCAGCGGAAGGGGCACAGGAGGCTGCACGGCTCCACCGAGACAGTCTGGAACAAGGGCCCCCGGAAGTGCGGCCTCGGTGTTGGTGTCGGTGTTGGCGCTGGTGGCACCCGCTGAGAGGAGGGGACGCGTGCACCTGGGCCGTGTGGCATTGGAGTGCCCAGAGCCCCAGGGACAGAGGGGGGCTGAGCCGAAGTTCGGAGACAGCCCACAGAGGAGGTGTGGGTGAAGGAGTCCAAGACCAGAGGGATGGCCGCCTGGAGCCCGGGCCACAGCTGCCCAGGCCGTGGATAGAGGAGAAACAGCTGGAGAGGCCGGCGGGACCGGGTTCCCGGAGGCGTCGCAGGGCACAGAGTCACCAGGACATGTGCTCAGCAGTGCCACAGGCAGCAAGGACCAGTGTGGCATTCCCCAAAAACGATCCCCTCGGCATCCACTGGTGACAAGTGCGGTGGCCTGGTGGGCATTGGTGGAAGGCAGTGAGCTGGGCAGGGGTGGGGATGAGGGGAGACAGCCCCGTGCTGAGTGCTCTCAGGAGAGAGCCTGCCCCGAAGCAGTCGTACATGAAGTGGAGGTGGCGGGGGAGTGGGTGGGCGGCTGTGGGGCCAGGACCGAGGGGAAGGTGAGCACCGCTAGGGGGAGCTGCAGAGAGCACACGGAGTGAAGCGGAGGCCTGGGCCAGAGCCTGCAGACGCCGGCATTTAGGGGCCTGGGACCCTGGAGGAGGTGGGTGGGCGCAAGGCTGCACTGGTCACCCTGTGGGATAGTGACCAGGCCGACCCAGATTTCAGCCTGGCAGGACCACTACTCTCTGAGCTGCTTAATAGGAGGGAGGGAGGCAGGCCCGTGGGAACGGGGAGCGAGGGGCTCTTCAAGCCCAGGTGGAGTCTCCACTGGGCCGATTGGCTGGCCTCTCTACAGGGAGGTGTGAAAGGTTTATTGGTTTTGAGAATGTTAAAGAGCTTTTTAAAGGGGGAAGTAACTTGAGAATAAAATGCAGGCTGCTTCCTTTCCTCCAGCCCCAACTGTGCAGAACGGCCAGGTTTTACACAACCACAGCGTTTCTGTGGCTGCGTCGGTCCTGCTCTCAGAGCAGGAGAGAGCACGAGTGAGACCCCTGCACGCCGAGCACCGCATCACAGCCTTAGCCGAGCCCAGCCGACTCTGCAGGGGCAGCCGCTCTGCCTCGGACCACCAGGCGGCGGTAGTGCGTTCTTCTGCGGGCTGGTTGTGCGCGCAGGCGCCTTGCAGCACAGCCGCGCTGAGACCCGGAGGCTCTTGGGGAGGGGTGGCAGGTCTCCCCCCTTCCCTGCATCCTTATCTGCTCGTGCTTCCCGTGATGCCGCCACCACTCCGTCTCAGGCATTGGTCGTGTCCTCAGTTCTTTATCTGAGTAACAAAGCAGTGACATTTTTCCCGATTCCCTTTTTAATGCTCAACTGCTGAGGCTGTGCGGTAAACCACGTCCAGCACAGCGCCACCTGAAAACCCCGAAAACAGGGGGCGGGGGATGGTGGCCCTGCGCCACCCTTGGGCAAACTCCGCATTCAGTTTGCCCGGTCGCGGTTTTGTGCCGCTTCTTAGGGAGCTGACTGTGGCCTTCAGACCTGGCTGGCTGGTCGAGGGTTCGAGATTCACAGACTGGTTTTGGGAGTTGACCATTCTTTTCTGTTTTCTCAATTTAAGTTAAAAGATAGATGGACCTGTGTATGTACAAACACGCATATCATACATGTTTATGTCCACATCTGTCTGCAATAAAGGTTTTTGGTTTTGTTCCTCCCCTACCCACGTCCCAGATGTCAGGACAGAGGCAGAAGCACCGAAGGAAGGGGAGACAATTTACAGTTAATGTCCCTGTTTTTCTTCTTAAAAACACGCTTACAGAATATTTCTTTTGAGTTTAGAATCCTCTTACCATCACGCTTTATGTGCTTGCTTCCGGTTAGAGCAAGAGGCACTCACTCGTGTGTGAGGGGCCCCCCAGGTTCCTCCTCCCGCTGCACAACCACAGAGGGAGATGGGCTGGCCCCCCACGTGTGTGGACAGATTTGGGGGCCTGTGTGTCTCCGTGGCTTTCTAAGTCTTAGAAGCAGTTGGTTCGATTTGGAGCTCTACACCACCTTGCTGTGGAAGGGCATCGTGTAGGTGCCGGCTTTGCGGCTCCAGTGCAGACCGAAGACCTTCGGAAGCCCCTGGTAGCTCAGCCCCACCGTTCCTGGGGCTCCCTCAGAGCTTCCGCTCTCGCCCCATTTGTTTTAGGGGCCGTGCGCGAGCAGGGACGAACTCATACAGTATTTCCACTCTGAACAAATCCCAAAGGCCACTGTGAGAGCTGACTAATCAGTCCCCCTCTTGACGTATCTTCATTCTGGGGAAAACACCTTCAAACCGCAGCCCGTCGGATTGCAGCTGCACCCAGAGGCCAGGGCTGATGCGCAGAAGACGAAACTGCCTCATCTGAGCAGCTGCCCCTCACCCCTGGGCCTGGGAGGGTCCCAGCCTTCCCGAGGACGGTCCCCTTCCTCCGAGGCACACCTGAGGGCCCACAGTCATTGCAAGGCACCACCACCTTACAAAGGGCCTGGCCGCCCCAGCCTTGCCCTCTGCTGCGCCCCTTCCCAGACTGCCCGGGTGCAGGCAAGCAGAGAGGCGGCGCAGCTCTTGGGGATTCCTCCTGAGGCTGACCAACTTGTCACAGAACTCACAGGATACCTGGGCATCTCAGAGGTGGCGCCTCGCCCCAGAAGCAGAGCCGGGGCGGGGCTCGCCCAGAGAGCAGTATCCCCGCTTCAGCTCCGCCTTTCCGAAGGCCTCTAGAATGCGTGGGGCGTGCGGGCAGGCGCCCCGAGGGTCGGTGCCTTGACTACTGCTCGGCACTTGCACCCCGTTTGGCTGCACCTCCTGCTGCTCTCCGAGGGCTGCCACCCGCCGTGTCCTGTGTTCGGTCGCCTCGCGACGCAGCAGCTGCTGCTGTCAGTGCGGAAAAGTCAGTGGGCAAGAACACTGGTGCTCCCCTCGCCTGGTCTTGCAAGGGTGTGGTTCTTTGGCCCAAAAGGCATCGTTGTTGTGACTCCCGTGGGCACGCGGCTGCCACAGCCCACTGCTGTCTCTTTGGGTCTGCAGTGTTGGGCACAGACTCCAACTTCTCAGTCCACCTTTCTCCTTGTGTCCTTGGTTTTTCTGCTGGCTTACCTGTCACCCTCGACTCTTGGGCACTCTGCCCCCGGAGACGGGGAGGTCTTGGAACAGCACCCTGCGCCTGCTCGTACAGCCGGGGGGGGGGGGTGCCGCGGCGGGGCTTGGCCCTTCACTTGGGGGCAGTAGTCCTGAGTTTGACTGCAGACTTGCAGCAGTTAAACAGAAATTTAACTGTAAGCTTTTAGTTTTTTTAAATTTTTATTTATTTTAGAGAGAGAGAGGGAGAGAAACATCAATGTATGGTTGCTGCTCATGTTGGGGACCTGGCGTGCACCCAGGCATGTGCCCTGACTGGGAGTCAAACCGGCGACCCTTTGCTTTGCAGGCCGTCACTCAGTCGACTGAGCCAGGGCCTGAAAGGCTTTTTTAAACAAAAGGGTTTATCATCAGGCCATTGGTAGCCGAAAAAGACAACTGGTCTTGGGGCAGGGAGTCCGAACCGCCCGCAACCCGGCTGAGAGGACAGGAAGGACAATAGTCTGTCTGGGTTTTGGTTGCTTGCATTTTTTTGTCCATTGGGGTGGGGGAGGGGGAACCTGAGCCTGTGATAGGATTTGCAGTAGCTTTGGATGGTGGAGGGGGGTGGGGTGCTCCAGGGATTAGCCTGGGCTCTGGACTT